CACAAAAAAAAAAAAGAAATTCAAGTTATCATCCGAGTCGGCTTCCAGGTATTTTTCGGTTGATCCTTGAATGATGTAAATTAATGTGATTAATTTATTCGTGCATAAATTAATATAATCTATAGAGTATCTCAAAAGTTTTTTGAAAAATTTTGTTATACACGATCCGCTGTTTTTCATCCCCACGCTTCCGCACCCGAATTCGATTCGGGAACCAGCATGAAGTCCTATTGATCCTCGGTGGTGTGTTGATTTACATTAGTGGAGAGAGTTTTGAAAAGTAAGCTTATGGGATTTGAACTTGTAATGAGAAGCACTTGATATAGAGCACGTGCGCTTGGTCCCAACTAGTTTGACATTGATGATTTGGCACTTGGTTGTTCACACACACACAAGAAAGGTCCAAGCAGAGAATGAGCAGTCTTTTGAATTTAGGATCAACACTTGGCTGGATATTGTGTTCTCTTTAAGCTGCACTTTTAACCCATCCCGTGATGGCAAATCTCTTGAGAATTCATCCACAAAGTATGCATTTGCTTTTTCTGTTTTAGCTCATTCTTCTTGTCTTGTTGTCACTTTTGTTTTGCTCGAGGACAAGCAACATTCTAAGTTTGGGGGTGTGATAACTCTAAGAAATTAGAGTTATCCAATGGTTTTATAGCTTAAAATTGCGTGGCCAAGAGTGATTTTTCTAGTTTATTGTGTGTTTTAATTTAGATTTGTAGAGTTTACACTTACTTTAGCTTAATTACATACTGGTGCTCCTCTTGAAGTGAAAGTTGGTAATTTTGAAGTAAAATGAGGTGAAAATTTGACTAAGGTTGTGTGTGCACTTTGCAGGAAATTTCTGGGTTAAATGTTGCGGCATTGTGGGCAGTATTCTGGGAATAGCTGGCATATGGCTGATGATAGCACACTAGCTGGAGAAAGCAGATAAAAAGGAATCCGTGTAAGCTGGATGAGCAGGTGTCATTGTGGTCCCCTGCACACATCATCAAGTGACACCTCAACCCTTTTTGTTGCCCTAGAGAGGAAATGCTTTCTGAACAAAAAAGGGGCAGCCGCCAGTTCAAAAAAAAAAAAAGAGATAGGAGGAGAGAGAGGAAATAGAAAAAGAGGTATTCTGGGGCTGGACACACAGAGGAAATACAGAGAGCACCCCTCTTCAGAAAACATAGAATACCTATCTCCATAAAAGAGAATATAGAGACGTGAGAGAAGGGAAGAAGGCAAGAGGTTGAAAAAAGCAAGGCTGGACAAAGAGGAATCCCAAATCCAGCGGAAATTCTTTCTTCTTTCTGTTAGCTTAATTCTCTTTTGGTATTTAGTTACTAATTTAGCCATGGCTTATTCTGGAGCTTTGAATTCTGTAAATCTCATTATGAACTAATTTGTTTTAGCTAGGTTTGCTAATGGAACTAAGATTGCAAGGTTGACAATGTGTTTCTGAGGTGTTATTAATTTGCTATTCCGGTTCATTCATGTGTATTAATGTCTATTTCTATTCTTGACTGGCCATCAATTTTAGGATACAAGATTAAGATTAATACTGGAAGGGTTAGTTTTAATCGGATCTAACATGAGTGATGCTTGTTCAATAACCTTGCTTAGTTGTTGATTAGTGGATGGTATAGGAATATATTATTCACCTTGCATAACTTAAAGAAACCTGAGTTTAAATCTGCATTCTGGAAGCTGGATTCACATAGGAATATGCTGAAAATAGTTTAAGGAACCTTAGTCATAATTAATTCGGAAGAATTTTATGCAATAACGGAGTTTCTGTTAACAGGGGTAGTGAATGCTGCAGCATTCTAGGTAACATTTTAGTCAGACTTGCAATTGAGGGGAAGTTAGCAGACCTAGCTCATTTTCACCATTGAATTACAGCCCATAATTACATTCTTGTTATTGTTATAAAAATATATAAAAACAATCCTAGAAGCTAATCAATATTAGTATTTAACGAAAGCTAAACACAATCCTCGTGGGATCGATATCCGTACTCTTGTACACTTTATTACTTGCGCGATTCGTATACTTGCGAGTTTTCACGCAACA